GGCAGCCCCGCGTCGGTCCGGCCAACTTTTCCCGGAATGGCAAAGTCCAGCAGGCTGACGCCGTGTCAATTTCCCTCTCTCCCGGCTGGTTCTTCGAGCGGCCACTTTCTGCCGGCTTTATATGCGCCTCCTCGGCCCCTGATTGGCCGAGCCTCTTCGGGTCACGAGGCAGAAAGGCGATCAAAAGTAAAGTCGCTCCGGATCCCCCGGCAACTTTTTTCTCTCTCCTGCTTTCGGTCTCTCTCCCCTTCGCCAGACCGCTTGCATGGGAAAAGGTTGAGGGGAGAGGGGGTCAGATCTCTGCAAAGGGAACCCTACCCCCCTCGCCGGTAAATCAGGAGCTGGAGGCGGCTGGTCGATCCGGATTTAAGCCCCCGGCTGGTGCGCCGCGGAAGGCAGCGCGTCGTCCTGCAGAGGAGCGAGTCCTCCGAAGCCTCTTAGCCTGGAACGGAGAGGTTCAGGGGCAGAGACGCAGGATTCCCGTTGGAAAGGGGGCAAGGAGTGGAAGCGGGCGGGGGGCATCGCCCTGGTGGGTTTTAACGCCATTTCAACCCCGGAGAGGGTGAAATGGGATGGCAGGATTCTGCTAAAACCGTGTCAAGGGGCCCCTCATCTTGTAAAGGGCAAGGATTGGACCTGTCAGTCTCTGCGCGTGTCCTGCGTCAGGGGTCGCCACCAAAGTCGCCACCAATGCTCCCCCTAAGCTGCGGAGTCTTGCGAGCAAAAATTCTGCTTTATGAGCTACTGGCATTAACAGTTGTAACCGAGCGATTTGGCGACTGCATCAATTAGTTGGCTCTGGAGCCCCATCCTTCCTGAGCCAAGACAAAAATGTGCGAGCCGGAGGCTAAAAAAACTGTGAGCTGGCTCACACTAACTCAGCTTAGAGGGAACACTGGTCACCACCGGACTTCTGGCGACCCCAGCGAGGGGCTTTCGAGGCAAGCCAGAAGCAGAGGTGGTTGGCCATTTGCCTCCCTCTGCAGAGCCTTCCTGGTAACGACCCTGCTACCCTTCTAAGTAGCGACCCTGCTTAGCTTCCGAGATTGGGCTGTACTATAGCATGCCACCTTCCCTCCCCACTGTAAGTCTACTAAGGATAGGATTGTCTGCTCTGACCGGCAGCAGCTCTCCAGGGTCTTAGGCAGAGATCTTTCCCATCATCCTCTAAATGGAGGATGTAAGCTACTGGCCTTTTAACTGGGGATGCTGGGGACTGAACCTGGGACCTTCTGCATACCAAGCAGAGGCTCTTCCACTGAGCCAGGGTCTCAGGTCAGGGTCTTTCCCATCACCTACTTCCTGGTCCTTTTAACTGGAGATGCCGGGGATTGAACCTGGGACCTTCTGCATGCCAAGCAGATGCTTTGCCACTGAGCCAGGGTCTCAGGTCAGGGTCTTTCCCATCACCCACAGCTGTCACCCTTAGCAACCTGGAGTCCCACAGGTCACAGCATTTCTCCCCAATAATTCACATTTGCTCCCCAAAGCAGAATGTTTCTCTATGGCCAAGGGGCCCAGAACTTTTTAATGAAGGGCTTGTGTTCCCATGAACAGGGAGAGTGACTAAGTACTGTGGGAACAGATCAAGATGGGTAGCCGTGTTAGTCTGTCTTTAGCAGTAGAAAAGTGCAAGAGTCCATGAGACACCTTAAAGACTAACAAAATTTGTGGCAGGGTAGGAACTTTTGGGAGCTGCGGTGGCTCAAATGGTTAAGACGCTGAACTGCAGGCTGTGGAAGGTCGGTAGTTCGGCAGTTCGAGACCCGGGTGCCGCATGACGGAGTGAGCTCCCGTCTCTAGTTCCAGCTCCTGCCAACCTAGCAGTTTGGAAGCAAGAAATTGCAAGTAGATAAATAGGTACCACTTCAGTGGGAAGGTCACAGCGTTCCGTGCGCCTTGGTGTTCAGTCATGCCGGCCACATGACCACGGAAACGTCTTCGGACAGCGCTGGCTCTTCGGCTTTGAAACGGAGATGAGCACCGCAACCCTAGAGTCAGATTCGACTGGCTTTCGAGCAAGGGAACCTTTACCTTTACTTTAGGAACTTTTGAGAGTCACCGCTCACTTCTTCAGTGGTGACCAGTGTTCCCTCTAAACTGAGTTAGTGTGAGCTAGTTCAGTTTTTTAGCCTCTGGCTCACACCTTTTTGGCTTAGCTCAGGAAGGAGGGCTCCAGAGCAAACTAATCTATGCAGTAGCCAAATTGCTCACTCACAACTTTAATGCCAGTAGCTTACAAAGTAGAACTTTTGCTCACAAGACTCCACAGCTTAGAGGGCGCATTGGTGGTGACTCATGAAAACATATACCTGCCAGCAATTTTGTTAGTCTTTAAGGTGCTACTGGACTCTTGTTCTTGGGTAGCCTTTACACGTAGCCAACTTCAGCAGGATACCTTGGGATGAAACCCCTTGGAATCTTAGATAGCCTCCATCTGTAATGGACAAATGCATCTTTGGAATGTGCAATGCATAGAGCTATAATAAGCAAGGGCCATAATCCATTATACACTTCATTACACATTGGGCCTTCAGGAAAGGACTCCTTCAGGAAAGGAAACCATCTCTCTCCTGCTGGAACTCCAAATCCAGATTGCAGCGGGGAGGGCGGGGTATAAATTGAATAAAATAAAATAAAATAAACTCTGTGTAAACATATTCCTCTCTCACTCATTCAGAACTGTGCACTGTGTACAAAGGTGGTTGGAACATTGCGTCTCTGTGGTCAGATCTTGGTTTCGTTACACCCCTGGCATCTCTTGATTGTTGCACCCACCGAGTGAACACTTGTGCCAACCAGGCCGAACAGTCCACGAAGCCCAAAATCCAGTGCAGACCAATCAAGCAGTGCGGTGCGGTGCCTGCTTGAACCCGTCCTTGGATTGTCTTGGTCAGGCGGAGAGTTTCCTTGCTAAAAGGTGCCAAATGTTCTTAGACAGATTTGCAGCTGCCAGCAGGTACGGAAACTCAGACGTTCCACTTGTCAAGCTGCATTGATCCACACGTGGAGGAATGAGGTGGCCGGGGTTTGAGGTGGTGCAGTGGACTGTATGCTGCTCGGGGGTCCGGGGGGGGTTCACGTCGTCTGAATTCTCCGCAATGCGGAAACTCCCTGCAAAGGAAAACGAGCACAGGAGAGAGGGGCAAATTAGGTTCAGGTTTTCTTTTCCAAAGTTTATTTTTCCATTTGCAGAGCACCTCTCTTTCTCTGTCTCTGCTACTGGACTTGATTCTAGCCATTGTGCTGCTGGCCAACTCAGCTACCTTCTAAAACTCTGTCTGTCTGTCTGTCTTTTCTGTCTGTCTGTGTCGGTCTATCATCAATCAATCAATCAAACTATAATCTATCATCTATATATATATCCGTCTGCCTATCCGTCTATATCTATCTATCTATCTATCTATCTATCTATCTATCTATCTATCATCTATCTATCATCTATCTGTCCATCCGGCTGTCTGTCTGTCTATCTATCTGTCTGTCCTTACGTCCGTCCAGCTATCCAGTTATCTATCAATTTTCTTTCTTTCTTTCTTTCTTTCTTTCTTTCTTTCTTTCTTTCTTTCTTTCTTTCTTTCTTTCTTTCTTTCTTTCTTTCTTTCTTTCTTTCTTCTGTCTGTCATCTATCAATTCATCCGTCTATAATCTGTCTGTCTGTCTGTCTATCTATCAATCAATCATCTCTCTCTCTCCTCCCCCCCCTCATCTCATCGCTTGCAGTCTGAATCTGGTACAGTCCCTTCAACCTTTCAGGACTCTACCACTCCGTTAGGATTTGACGGTGTCGTTTTTAACTCTTCGTGAGCCACAACCGTCTCTGGAGAGGAGGCGGAGGAAGGCCTCCTGCTCCAAGTAGCACACAAGTTGGCCAGTGATGACCTTTCCCGGCAAATGCGGTAGTCCTGATCGATCTGGGACCAGCAGGACAAATAAAAATGGGTCCGGGGGGGGTGTTGT